AATAATAATAATAATAATAATAATAATAATAATAATAATAATAATAATAATAATAATAATAATAATAATAATAATAATAATAATAATAATAATAATAATAATAATAATAATAATAATAATAATAATAATAATAATAATAATAATAATAATAATAATAATAATAATAATAATAATAATAATAATAATAATAATAATAATAATAATAATAATAATAATAATAATAATAATAATAATAATAATAATAATAATAATGAAGATAGTGATAATAACAATAATGATATGCTTCATTACGGCAGTTATAATGATAATGATAGTCTGAGACAACGGTGATAATAATAGTGAGTTAGAAAAAAAAGTAATATAATAACTTAATAATAAATGTTCATAATTGTGGATGATAATTAAAAAGTATTAGTTTTTTTTTTTTTAAATATGGAATTCAAGTACTATTTTAGCAAAAACAATTTCATCAAATCAAGTAAATTATCGAAAAAAGTAAAAAAATAAATTTGATTAGATAATATACATTAGTAAAAATTCGACCACCACCATCATTTTTCCGTAATTCATTAACCAATTTGCTAAGTCTTAATGAAGCACGGATGCATTCTTTCCGGCTTACTTCCTCTTCTTTCCGTTTCTGTGATTTTCTATACCAACAAACAGCTAACAGTAAAATGATGGTTAAAAGTATAATTAATGCAATTATTGCAATGATTATACCACCTCGCCAAAGTGCCGGTTCATCATATGATAGCACACCTGCAATTAATTAATTATTTGTGATTATTGTTTCCTTTCTATTATGGCTGACAATCAATCGTAATTACTTGTGATTACCTTAGTTAATTATCACTTTTCAGTTTCCTTTTCAATTAGATATCACTTCTACTTATCTTTCTATCATACATTATTGTTTCTTTAAAGCAATAACTTGAGTTATTTCTTTTTGCATTCACCGAAAGTTACAATTAATTATATTAATTTTCTTCCAATTCCTTTCTCCCATCCTTTATTTCATTTCCAATTTTCCGGATAAGTTCATTAAAAGGTTGAGGAATCCTGTTTCCGTTTTCTGTTATCAAATATTATTGACATTTAAAGCAATACTTATTACGAAAGTTTGCATGCCATTAAGTATTAAGTATTAATTATTAAGTACTAGTTTAGTATTAAATATTAATTTGTATTATTTTTTTATTTGGTATTAATTTTTCTTTATTTTTTATATTTAGTATTAAGTATTGGTATTAAGTACTAATTTGCCATTAAGTATTAATTAATAATTCTATTAAAATCTACAAAACAGTAGCAATTCTATTCTATTCCTATTTCCTTATAATTATGATCATTTAAATTCAATTCTAAATAATAACCGTTGTTAATTGTTTAATAATAATTTCAAACCTTTTTCACATATAACTGATAGCAAATTATTGCAATTTTGAGTACCAATATTACCGGTACGTGTACTTAACCAACCACATTGTGTTAATGGAACTGATACACCTGAGATCCATACCTGTTTATCATATGCATCCTATAATTTAATTAACGAAATTAAAATAATATTTGATAAAAGAATACTTGAACAATATTTAATATCATTTTCGACTTTTCCCACTTTTTTGCTAAAAAAACTGTGAGCTAAAAAAGGTTAGGTTTTTTGAAAAAAAGTAAACTATAAAATTAAAAAGTTTATTTTTTGTTTTTGGAAACACACATCAGATAAATTGATCTTAAAATAGTAATTAACCAAATTTCCTCCTCGCTTCCAATAACTCTCAGGAATTTATTTACCCCCTTTCAATTAATTATATTACAATTATAATCATCCTTCAAAATTAAAATCAAACGAAGTGATGTAATTAAATTAAATATTAGTGCAAAGTAATTAATAAATTTATACAACTAAATTGTAAATTAAAACTATTGAATTGCCAAAGGAAAAATGGAAGAAATGAAATTTTCCAATGTAAACACAATACTGAAATCAAAATAATATTTGTCAAATTTCAACCAGAACTTTTAACAAATACTAGAGATAATCTTTAAAAATCAAAAACTTCTACATTCCAATAATATCAGTAATCCAGTATTCGAGTATCATTCTCAGGAATTTCGTTGGTTTTATATTTTAGGATGGAAAATTAGCACTATTCAAAAAATATCAAAATATTGTTTAAACACTTTTATATAAAAGTTAACAAGAATGAAGTACTGTAAAAGTATTGTAACGATCGATATTATCGCTTGTTCGCATATGTATAATCTCATCAATTCGTTTTGCAAGTTGTTTTTGTCTACTGTCATCTACTCGCAAATACGGTACAAATGAATCCATTTCCTGCAAAAAAAAAAAAAAATTGAAAAAGAAATTTTTTTTTTGCTTTCTGTTTCTTCATTTTTTCTATCACACCATAATATTTCCTAGATTTGTTTTTATCTAGTAATTTCAAAAATTTATCATTAGACTCGAAATAATTTTATCTTTGAGTCCAAAAAAAAAAAATTCTACGATAATCTAAAAATTAGTTTTATGCAAATATTATACGATATTACATAATTGAAAATTAAACAATATTAAACAATATTAAAGACACTTTTTTAACAAAAGAATATGTTTTTTGTTTTTTTAAAGATATGAATTATGTCTTGCATTTGAGTCATTTCAAAAAAACTGACATGAGTTTGGAATTTTTTAAATCATTTCATTCGATATGAAATTAGTCATGGAAAAAAGAGAAAAATATTTAAGTCGCTGATTACTTATTCGTTAAAATTTCGACATTCTCATCAACTGACTGCAAAAATATCACATTTGAAATACATTAAATACACCCATTAGCGTTAATTACCCCATTATCATTATTATTGTTATCATTAATATTATTATTATCGTTACTATTATTACCATTATTATTATTATTATTATTATTATTATTACTGTCATTACTATCATTATTATTATTATTACCACTATTTGTTATTATTATCATTATTTATAATTATTATTATTACTATTATTATTATTATTATTATTATTATTATTATTATTATTATTATTATTATTACTACTATTATTATTATTATTCTTATTATTATTATTTATTATTATTATTATTATTATTATTATTTATTATTATTATTATTATTATTATTATTATT